ACAACTGTCTTTTGAAAACTAGTTCCACTGCATGGCAATTCATAACCCACTGATCTATTCCTTTAGTTACTCCTCTGTCGTTCCTAACCTCATCTCAATGCATTTCATAGTAAACTTTGTTCATGGCTTTAGCTATGATCTCAACTATCAGCTGATGCGATCCAAGTTGTAACAGGTTTCTTTTGCAAATTTCCTGACAAATTTAATTTTTGGTTGGAATAAGCTCTAGACTCAAACATAGTAGTTGCTTTATGTTCTCTTGTGCTTCATCTTTATTTTTTCACAACTCAAAAGACAGTTCAACTGTAATAGGTAAAATAAACTGCTGTGCCTTATTTGAGCTTTCTCATATACAAAAGATTGGTTTAATAATTCAAAAATTGTTTTTGTTACTTTCAAGACAGGGCTTCTCTGTGTGTTCTATAACTTACTCTGTAGAGCAGGCTGGCCTTCCTGAGAGCTGGGATTAAAGGCATGTGCTACCACCACCCAGCTAAGAATATTTCTAGGGTAAGGAACAGGCTGTAAAAATGTTTATATTAGACATCAATGAAAAATATTGAAAGATGAAAAAAATGTTTTTTCTCTGTGGCAATGCAAAATTTTAAAAATATCCTAAGAGGCTGGAAATTTTATGAACCTTACAGCCATACTTAAAACACCATGAAGTCACTTAACGGCTGACCCAGCCCGTTTTACTTGCCTTCAAAGCTAATACATGGCTGTTCCCATGTACTCTTCCATGTCCTGCCTTGCAAGTAACTCATGTGTACATGTATGCTGTGATAGTCATTTGCTAAAAAAAGCAAATACACAGAATGCTACTTTATAAAATGAGTAACCTCTTCCCCCGCTATGCTGAAATCACTATTCAGAGACTGCTTCATAGGGTTGGTTATCTTGGCCAGCTGGAATCAAGTCACCCTTGTTAAATACTGTTAAAGATGTCTATAAAAGTATCCTTCAAAGGGGCAGGGAGATGAGGGAGGGAGGGTGGGATTGGGGAGGGGATGAGGGAGTGGGATACAGAGTTAACAAAATGTAACTAATAAGAAAAATAAAATTAAAAAAAAAGTAATAGATGTATTATGACTCAAAAAAAAAAAAAAAAAAGGATCCTTCAGCATGAAGGTGGCACATGCCTTTAATCCTAGCACACTTGGGAGGCAGAGGCAGGTGGATCAAGGCCAGCCTGCTCTACAAAGACGACAGTCCAGGACAGGACAGCCAGGGCACAGGACACAGAGACACCGTCTCTCAAAAAACCAAAAATAAATATCCTTCATACCTAACCACATGCTTTCTGAGCTGTTGAATAAGAAGATCAAAGCTTTTTGAGAAACAGACAAATAGAGGTTCTCAAGACAGCCTTCAGAGATTCAGACTCATGCAACAGACGCTAGAGCAGGATAGAAGAGTCAGGAATGTAAAGCAGAGAATTTCCAGGCTTGCTCTTGGTTAAAGGACACCAAGGTAAGTACTTCATTTTTTTTTTTCCAGAATATGAAAACTTACTTATTGTCAACTTCTGCTATCCTGTTGACTTATTGTTTCCAGAATATGAAAACTTACTTATTGTCAAATTCTGACTCTTCGGCTCCAACCCCTACTTATTCCAGCACAATTCCCTTTGCATGAGAGGCACCTCCAAAGGGATTGGCCTTCAGGGCTGTGCCCACGTGGGCTTTCTTGTATTGTTTATCATGCCAACTTCTGGTCCTGTTGTTGACTGTGGAGCTCCCTGGCTGTATGGAGACCACAACACTTGCCCGTCTTGCCAGTGCCACAGGCCCATGAGAAAAAGTAATTTCATTTAATTCCACACAAACATCAGTGATTCTTACTTTGTTATTATGCCCAACCACCCATACCTCAAACATCACCTTTAAGAGTATATACTTTTTTTATTGGGGGGGGGGGGGGGGCGTCTTTTTGAGGCAGTGTTTTCCTGTGTCTTTGGCTGTCCTGGAACTCACTCTGTAGACCAGTCTGGCCTTGAACCCACATAGATCTACCTGCCTCTGCCTCTGCCTCCTAAGTGCTGAGATTAAAGATGTGAACCACCACCACCACCCAGCAAGAATGTATTTGTATTTATTCATGTTTATAGCATAGAAAAAGATTCTAGGAAGCTGAGATGGTTCAGTTGGCAAAGTGCTTGGCACAGGTTCAGTTTCCTACCATTCATGTAGACAAAAAAAAAAAAATGGATAAAGCAGTTCCAGTAAGGCAGTGACAGGACTCCTGGGGCTTGCTGGGCAGTTATTCTGGCCAAATTCATGTTCTTCAGGTTCAGTGAGAGACACTCTCAAACACTAAAAACACCGGGCCAGGAGGTGGTGGCACACCTTTAATCCTAGCTCTTGGGAGGCGGAGGCAGAGGCAGGTGATCTGTGAGACATTTCACATAACCAGTAAGTTATGCCAGAAACATGTATAAACATGCTTTTGTGTTCAAACAATGCAAGTGTTACTAAGTAACAAGCTCAAAACCTATGTAAATTAGTTGGCTGCGCCATAGCAAAAAAGCACCCCCAGGGTTTCTGTGTAACCGTGACTGTAGGCCAGGGTGGCATGGGCTCCATCTGCCTCTGTCAAAGGTGTGTACCACCACTGCCCAGTTCCTTTATTCCAACCTTAACTCTCAGATCACTCAACACTGAATGATATAGAATGCTTACGAAGGGATTACAGAAACCACAGAATGCCGAGGCAGAGAGCTGATACAGATGCAAAATAAGGTCATACTGAGTTTGAAGCCAGCCTTATAAAAGAGCACTAGGTATGTATAAAGCAAATTTAATGGTATTTTCAAGAAACTGCAGGGGCTAGACAGATGGCTCCGTGATTAAGAGCACTAACTTCTCTTTCAGAGGATCCAGGTTCAATTCCAAGCAACCATACCACATAAAAGTTAACCATCTAGGGCTGGAGAGATGGCTCAGAGGTTAAGAGCACTGGCTGCTCTTCCAAAGGTCAATTCCCAGCAACCACACGGTAGCTCACAACCATCTATTAGAAGATCTGGTGCCCTCTTCTGGCATGCAGGTGTGCAGAACATCGTGTACAAAAAAAAAAAAAAGTTAACCATCTGTAACTCCAGTTCCAGGGGATCAGGCACCCTCTCATGATCTCCCCAAGCATGACATTAAAGTGGTAGACATATATGCAGGCAAAAACACTAAAAAAATTGATAAATGTAAACAAAGTTCAAGGTAGTGAAAGCTCAGGAGACAGTATTACATGAAAGATGGAGACATGTTCAGGACTGCTTCAGCTATTGAAAAACTTAGTTTTGTAAGCAACAAAAAGGCAGTACTCCAGCCTCCGTGAGACTAAGCCAAGAGATTTAAGGCAGTGTTATTGTATGTATAGCCCTGGCTAACCTGGAACTTGCCATGTAGACCAGGTTGGCCTCTCCCACCATGACCCCCAGTGTTTTGAATCAATTCTGAAGTCCTTTAACAGCTCACATGTTGGAAGGCTTAGTCCCTTCCTATTGTATAAACTTTTAGAAATGTATCTGTCCCTCTTTTGCTTTCTAACTTCAGTTTTGTCGTCCCATTTGCTTCTGGCTTTCACATCCAGCCTTATATTTCTTAGATTAGATTACCCTTTTCCGAGTCTCCTGTAACTCAGGCTGGACTCTCAAATTTGCATGTAACCAACATCCAATCCTTCTGCTCCCACATCTTAAGTGTTATTATAGGTGTACGAAATGCATGATAGGCATAAGCTCATTTTCCCCTCAGCTATTTGTTACAGCAACAGAATGCTGACTAGCCTCAGATACTATTTTATAGACTTTTGAAACAGGCTCTTACTTTGTAGCCCAGGTTGGTTTGAAACTATGTAATCTAGTCTGGCCTTGAACTCATGACACCATGATGTAGATGAAAAAGCTTGAGTATGAGGGCTGATGTGTCCAGTGCCTCACATATTATAGGTCTCAAAATGGTGAGAGGTTGTTATGCAAGCCTTAATTCAGTGATTGGGAAGCAATCTTTGTGAATTTGAGGAAAGCTGGGTCTAACTAGTGACTTTCACACCAGTCAGGGATAGATACATGGTCTCAAAACAAAATTAAAATTAGGAGGCTGGCAAGAACCTGCTACTCAGTCTTGACAGCCTGAGTTCTATTTCCAGTTCCCATGTAGCAGAAGAGAATGGACTCCTGAAAGTCATGTTTTTGCTTTCATGGTACTCTGTGACACACCAATGTGTGCCTGGTACCCAGAGTTTAGAAGAGAGTAGAGGTCATTGGATCCCCTGGAACTCATGTCACAGAGTAGTGAAGCATCATCATATGGTTGCTGGAAACTGAACCTGGATCACCTGGGAGATCAGTGCTCTTAACTGCTAAGCCATCTCCCCAGTCCAAGAGTAACAAAACCCAAAACAGGTGTGGTAGCTCACACTTTTAACCCAACCCACATGGTGTTGAAGCATAATATCCAAGAATTTGAGTTCCCCTGGGGTACTGCTTTGAGACTGTCTCAAAACAAAAATGAAAAAAAAAAGTTTACTGATCACATTGTGTCACACATTGTGTCAAAAATCTTTTTTGAAACAGGGTCTAGTCATACAGTTCTGGAACTCACTATGCAGACCAGGCTGGCTTCAAACTCAGATATCCTCCTGCCCCTGTCCCCCAAGTGCTGGGATTAAAGGTGTGGGTAAGATCAATAAAAAAATTATTTAAGGGGACTGTAAGATATGGCTCATCAGTTGAGGTTCTTCCAGAGGTCCTGAGTTCAATTCCCAGTAACCACATGGTAGCTCATAACCATTTGTGCTGGAATCTGGTGCACTCTTCTGGTGTGTGTGAAGACAGAACATGCCTAATAATGTATTAAAATGTTTCAAAGATTTTTGCCCATGCAGTGTCTGCACAGATACACACAAACCCTTGGGGTTGAGGGACGGGGAGCGTGCCTGAAGTTGGGTCTTAAAATTAAGCATCTTCAATTTACTTTCTGGGAAAAGATGAAGCACCTGAGTTCATCCAACAAGAAGCCATAACTTTATTAGTTATTAGCACAAATTTCAAAGCTGTAGTTCCACTTTTCAAACACCCAAAAGGGAGGAAGGGGTGGGGGGAGATGTCCTTGCTGTCAAATAGTTACATCGTTAATTCCTGTAAAAGGGGGGAAAAAAGATAATTAGAGGCATTTATAGGCAAAGAGAGAATTCAGGTCATTGAAATCTAAGGAAGCTCAGGTGTTGGAATGAAGAGTCATGAGACTGGCTACTCACCATAATAGCATTTACAATATCATTACTGTTGTTTTTCAGGGCTCGGACTGCTTTTGCTCTCGAGACATTTGCTTGTGACATGACTAATTCTATGTCCTTAACTTCCACACCTGTTTCATCAACCTGAAAGAGAAAGAAGGAGCAGTCTTAAATCTCTACCTTCAGTAGTGTTTAGGAGCAAAATTTGCCAACACAGAGCTTAGAGTTCACAAGATTCCATGGTATACCTCTTCCTCTTCACTCTCCTCTTGTACAGTTGGAGTCTGAGTATTTTCTTGAATGTTTGAAACAGCTTCACCTTGAACTTTGAATTTCTCAGCAGCTGCTAACTGTGCTTGCTGTGACAAATCTTCAATCTACATACAGGGCAGAGAATAGAGGCACGTTGAGTTGATCTGTTTGTATTAACTTAAAAAAATTCATCTCAGGCAACTCCCTGTTTTGTTAACTGAGTATCTGCCCTAACTTTGGACTTTCACTGGAGAAAGAAGCAAGCTGTGTCTAGAGATTTTTTGGTATCAAAATTATATGAGGAGCCAAACACCTGCAACTGCAGCAAGAACTGTCTGACGACTAATAATATTAGTAATAAACAACTGCTCTGAAGCAACTCACCCAAAGAAAATTTGACTAACCTTGGCTTCTCCAAAAACTATATAGGTATCTGAAGCTGGGCTCTTGTAGACATCTGGTTTTGTGATGACAAAGAGGATATTTTTAGATTTCCGGATAGTGACTCGAGTGACCCCTGTAACCTGCCGAAGACCAAGCTTGGACATAGCCTACAGAAGAGAAATGAACATTAAGTTTCTAACTTAAAAAAACAAAAAGGAACACAAGCACCATTCAACATCCTGGGCTAAGTTTGTATTAAAAAAGGATAATTGAGTGTTTTCAGCTATAGTAGTTCACCAAGTTATACCACAGGTGCCTTTTTGGATGTGACAGTCTTTTGTACCCTACGCTAGCTGTGAACTTGCTACACAACTAGCTTGCCCTTAACTCCCAAATCCTTCTTTCCGAGTGGTGCTGCAAGTGCTAGGACTGCAGGGACACACACCGCAGAGCCCCAATGCGTGTTTATAACTCCACCTTACCTTCCTTGCCTTCTTTTCACTCCGACTCTGCTTTGCTTTACTGACTGGTTCTTCATCGATTTCAGCTGCTGCTGCCAGCTAAGAAGACAAAAGGGGTTGTTGTTGTTTTCCCCTCTCTCCAGACAGGGTTTCTCTGTGTAGCCCTTGCTATCCTGGAAGTCGCTCTGTAGACCAGATTTGGAAATCCTCCTGCCTCTCAGTTAAACAGACCTAAAGCTCTGGATGCTTGTTTCCATATGAGCTTTCTTTACAGAGACACACAGTTCAAATAGCCATGTCCATTATAAGCAACCTTGGTTTGCTAGACCCTCAATCAGTATTTTATTTTGGAGGCCTGGCCTCTGTCACAAGCTGACCTTTGAACTTTCAACATTCCAGTCCCATCCTTCCACATGCTAAGATTATAGATACTGGCCAACATGCTTGTCTTCGAGTGCTTTCTTGACGTAAGTTATTGAGAGGACTCATACCTGGGCTTGCTGTGTGGTTGTCTGTGTGGAGTCTTGTTCCTCAAGCTCTGGCACTGACTCGTCACTGTCAGATTCTGTCCCCGACCCTACGATGACAGATAATTTATGTTCAATAGCACAATTTTTAGAGGTGGCACCTCATCAAAGCCTGCCTGAACTGTCACTGCCTTAATGCAAGGCCTTACAATGCTAAATGTAAGTCAATTGGCTTCTGTCACCCAGCTCAAGGAATCCAAGATCAAGATATGTGGGACAGTTGCCAGACACAATAAGTAGCTTATGTGCTGCAACTGCCTTCTCTTTCAAGTTCTTTATTTCTTGGTTCAAATACCAGGCATCCACGAGATTCCAAACTTCATCCCCAGCCCACTCATTCCAGAAATATTCAGACAAAAGGCATCTTCAGATACAATTCATCAAAAACCCTTTAAATGGGGTTGGAAAGTCAGAAGCAGTTGTGCACATATATTCTGCCTTTCAAACCACTCACCAAAAGAGTATTACCCCATCACTGGAACACCTCTACATTGTTAAATTCTAATAGTTCTCACCTTTACTAGATACAGGCCTATGATTCCCCCCCCCCCACACTTCTAAATATAATCGACACATCTTAATTTCCCTTCATTTGAAAGGCCAAGCATCAGGAAAGTCTACGGACAGGAAAGCATTCACCCACACCATTCTTAGGCCAGAATAAAACAGGTCTTAAGAAAAGGAAGTCCCTGGGCAACCAGTAATTACTAAGTCTAAGTAGTAAAAAAGAAAAGAAAGAGCTTCAAGTAACTTTTGTTTTTAAATTAAATTTAGGCCCAGGGACAAGGTTAGTGATGTGGTAAGAATTAGAGTAAACTAAAGGCCTAGTAGGTCTTGGTTTTCAGTATCAGCTCAGTTAGGCTAAAAAGGATGGTTAGATCCAGACCTCAGTCTGGACAACTTTACACAAGACACAAACTTATCTGAGATGATAGAAACCAAGATTTAGTTTCATATTCTTAGAGCTTCTACATTTAAAGTTACCATTTTGTGTACTACGCCCAAACTCAAGCAGACATACTGCACAAAGCGACGCAGCCTAGTTAGTATTGGTGGGTAGCCCCCAAGGGGGTGTGGGCAACACACCATGCACACAGCAAACCAAGACAAATACCCTTGTCGTTCTTCAGAACAGGCTGCTTGGCAGAGGGGGCTGGGGCAGGGATCCCAGCAGGTTTAGGGGTGGGCATGTTGACGAGGACCGGCTGGACAGGCACTTCCCCAGAGTCTCCTTCCGGGGGAATCAGGGGTGGCAGCTCATCCTCATCAGCAGGGGCTGGGAGCTTAGAGGGTGATTCCAGCACTGACCCAGGTGAAGACTCGAGAAATGGCTGTTTAGGAGGCAGAGGGGGAACTGGGGAGGGAGCATGTGTCAGGGAAGCTGATGGGGCAGGCTTTGGAACCACAGGTGCAGATCCAGCCTCAGGAAGGACTTTGTCAGAGGTAACAGCCACCTGAGACTCAGTATCAATGGGACCCTTTGAAGCGTGAAGATCATCACCCTTTGCAGGGCAAACAGATAGAGCTTCTGTAGTTTTTGAAGAGTCTTTGTCAACAGGGACTGTAAGAGGGGCTAGAGCTACTGCAGAAAGAAGGGCCTTTGTATCTTTCTTAGCAGAGGGATCTGGGCACTGAGGAGGTAAGGCAGAATTCCTCTTGGCTCTTGGGCCTTTCTGAGTGGGAGTAGCGATGACCAATGTACTTTCTGGAGCAGGTGCAGCAGGCACTTCTTTGAGAGCAGTAAGATCTCTCTTTGCTGGAACCCTTTCAGATGCCTGAGGGGTAACAGTCCCTGTGCTACATGCAACCAATACTGGGGAAGTTGGGGAGTCTTCTGGGGAAGAAGCGATGGATGCGAGAATGGGAACCTCTTTAGAGCTTGGAGTCTCTTTAAGTGAGGGAAGAGTCATAGCTGGGAGAGTAGAGACCCTTTTGGAGCATGGGGCCTTTTTAGAAGGAGAGCTAACTGTGGGGGTGAGAACTTCTTTGGGGGTTATTTCTGAGGTCTTCTTGGGGGCCCCTTTGGGAGATGGTGTTGTTGAAGTCTCTTTGGAGGTCTCAGTGGCTGGAGCCTTTTTAGGAGATGGGACTGCTGTAGCCTCTTTTGGAGCTCCTGTTGCTGGGGCAACAGGGTCCCATTTAATTAACTGGGCTGCTGAATTCTCTGGGGTTGTAGCTGATGGGGCCTTTTGCAGTGAGTTGATAGCGTCAAGAGAAGGGTTTCCTGGGAATTCTTTAGGGGGTGATGTTCTTGGTGCCTTTTTGGATGGTGTTTTGGGGCTCTTGGTGGGGGAGGGAACAATTATAGCTGGGGCAGCATTGGTAGATAGGGCTGCTGGATCATCTTTAAGAGCTACAGTCACTGGGGCCTTTCTACCAGAGGAAGGATTCTTAACTGGGGGCGCACCTGGGGTTCCTAGGGTCTCTCTGGGGGAGACGGCCATCTCCTGTCTCTCAGCAGGGATGGTTGTTTTGGAGGTGGCAGTTGCTGAGGCCTTCTGTGAAGTGGGAGGGTTTTCCAGTGGTGCAGTGGTGATGCCTGAAGATGGGGCTTCAGTTTTGGGGGTCTTTTGGGAGGAAGGAGGACTCTCCAATGAAACAGCTGTGACCCCTTTAAGTGAAGTTTCTTTGGGGGCTGCAGTATGGGAGAGTTTTTTGGAAGATGGGGTTACTAGCGTTTCTTTGGGACCTGCCATTTTAGGGGTCTTTTTGTGAGATAAGGAAATTTCTGGTGCAACTGCTGTGACACCTTCAGGAGATGGGGTTGTGGGTGTTTCTTTGGATCCTGCTGTTTTAGGGGCTTTTCTTGGGGAGGAAAGAATCTGCAGTGCTGCAGTAGTGACCCCCTCAGAGGATAGAGCTGGAATTTCTTTGGAGACTACAGTTTTGGGGGTCTTTTTGGAAGGTGGGGTTGCTGGTGTTTCTTTGGGGATTGCAGTTTTTGAGGCCTTT